GCTGTGGCTGCCCCATCCCTGGCAGTGTTGAAGGGCAGGTTGGATGGGGCTTGGAGCAGCCTGGAATGGTGGGAGGTGTTCCTGCCCATGGCAGGGGGTTGGAACTAGATGATCTTTCAGTTCCCTTCCAACCCAAACCACTCTGCAATTCTATGACTCACAAATTTTGTCTCAACCCTGTGTCTGTAGCTGTGATCTCTTCCAGTGTCACAGCCAGTTTAGTCTTTCCTCTTCCAGTCTCTGTGTACATCAGTTCCCGTACATGGAGCACTCTCATGGTTTGCCTTCCCCAGAAGTTCTGGTGCCCCCTGCAAATCACAGAGCCCTGCAGCCAGACTAAATAAATTCCCAGGAGGAGCAGGGATGATCTTTGCTGCCTGCCAAGCATCGTGTGTCCATGACTGCTGGGATGTTGCAGCTGGGTTGCTTCCTCAGCCAGCTAAGAGAGATGGGAGAGATTTGGCTTTGAACTCAGAGTATTTCTGAATGTTGAGTTATTTCTCTGTTGAAACAGCTTTTTTGAGCTCTAATGTCCAGGAGTGATAATAGCAACAAGCACAGTTCTCATCCCCACTACCTGGGGTAACAGGACAGTATGAAAGACCCCCCAAAAAACCTGAATTACATGTGTTACATGGGGCTGAATGAACTGACTGCCAGCCCTGGCTCTTGCTGTGATTTAGGTCAAGCTCTTTTAATCCTTTTAAATTATTCCCTCTTATCTGGAAAACCTTCTCTTCAGGGCTGAATAATATTTGCAAAGTTCTTAGGAAGCAGCACACATCTCCCAAGGTTTATGTGGCCACTTTCTATCTTCATTTAGAACTGTGAAATGTATCTATTGTAATTATATATAAGGTGGATTTGATGGTGAGGAACTGGGATGGGTTGCCCTGGGAGGCTGGTGATGCCCCATCCCTGGAGGTTTTTAAGGCCAGGTTGGCTGAGGTTTTGTGCAACCTGGTCTAGTGGTTCCCTGCTCATGGCAGGGAGTTGGAACTGGATGATCTTTGAGGTCCCTTCCAAGCTTAATAGTTGATTCTATGATTTTTCTTCTTCTTTTTTTCTTTTTTCCCCCTGGCACTGCAGAAGTGGTGCTGGTAGGTGTGAGGTTTAATAGGAGAAAAAGCAGCAGGAA